TTGTAGATAATGGTTTCAAATCCTACTGTGCTTCCCAGTGTCAGTTGGGTAGTAACATGCCTGCTGTGTGCTGAGTGCTTTGGTAGAAGTGATGGCACTTCCCACCCAGAGGAGTAAATGTGTGTTATTCAGTCACTCAGCAGATACAAGCACTTACTGTGGGCTCAGATAACAGTGATTTTTAAGTGCTAGGGCTAGGTCACTGAACAGATAGAAGTTACTGCTTTCATAGAGCTTTAATGGGGAAATGGGATAGGTAAAACAGACAGTGAAAACATACAGACTGAGTAAGACCAAGCTGAATGTTTGATGAGTGCTGAGAGATGATAGAACGTGTATGCGTGTGTGCATGCATTGGGGTGAATCCTACCCTTTAGTCCAGGAAGGCCTCAAAGGAAGTTATGAGTGAGTCTTAAAGAGATAAGGGAATAAGCAACACAGATATTAATGGGGAAAGGATTCCAAACATAGAAGCAGCAAAAGCAGAGCCCTGCTGTGCAGGAACACACCTGGATGACCAGGAGTCACAGGAAGCCAGCAGGTTACAGGAGATTAGCTGGCTGCTAAGGTTGAGGTGCTGCCCTGGTTGCAGGGTCCAGCATGTGGTATCGCTGGCCACTGTGAGGACTTCTGCTCGGACAGAAACAGAAGATGAGGGGAACAGCACACTCTAGTGTAGCACTGATGCTATTCAGAGCTGATTTACAGGAGGCAGCAGGACAAAGTAGCTGAAAGTATAGACCTCAGCTGAACTGCCTGAATTTTGATCTTCTCTCCACTTACCAGCTATAACTGTGGGACGTTAACCCTTTTGTTTTTGTGCCTGGTTTCCTCATCTATACAATTGATTAATGTCTACAGGTTGTTGGGAGGGTTCATTGAGCTCAGTGAGGATAAAGGTCTAGGACAGTGCCTGGCACATGGTGGATGCTCTGTGTGTCTGTTAAGTGAACTTATTCCCATTGAGTTACTTCCTGGGTAGCTGAGAGCTCTGTGAGTAAAGCTTCCCCAGGTAGGCGTTCAGTGTTTATTTTGGCTGAGAACCAGGTGACTCCCTCTGCTTTCAGTTTTGATGCTTTTCAAAACAAGGGAGGGCTCAAATTAAATGTACTTCTTTCTGTGTCTAATAATCATTGACATCCTTACCAATGTGCAGTAGTGAGAGGGTTAAAGGTTTTAGGCTACTTAATATCTCAATACAGTGTGGCCCTAGGAAGGAATTTACCTAAAATTGGTTGTGCTGTGGTACAGGTTGGAGGAAAGCTCCGTGTCTCCCATTAGTGTGCTAGGGTCTCATCGCCTTTTGCCCCAATATGAATGTTAATACATTTCAGAGTCACTGCTAGTTGGATTGAAGCGAACCTCCCAGAGGACTCTAAGGACACATGGAAGAAGAGGGGGAATGTGGATTATGTGGTGCTTCTTGACTGGTTTAGTTCGGCAAAAGATTTACAGCTTGGAACAACTCTCCAGAGTCTGAAAGATGCGCTTTTCAAGGTTAGCAAGTTTCCTTGCTGGTTTACTGTAACTGCAAATCTGTCCTGCTTTGGTAGGGAGCTGTATTGACTAGTTGTTTGCTTAAGCTCTAAAAGTTCTATAATGCTTTGTGGAATCTTTTAAAATTCAGATTTAAAGAAAAATTTTTAAATCACCAAATAATGAACTGATGTGTGTAAAAATTTTCTTATTTTAAGAATTAAGCTAAAGTATAAAAGCAAAAGAAATTCCGGGGGAAAAAGATTGACAGATTAGACTTCATAGAAGAAATTTGTTAGATATAAAACAACAAACAAAAAAACCTCACATGCTTATTATTAAAAGACAGAAATTAAAAATATTTATTTTGAAACACCCTAAATCTGAAGAGATTGTTACCCTACCCATAGAAACGGCTTTGTTAGTATCAAGTATATGCACATTGAAATGAGTGCTGCTCTCATCGATTAAATTAACAAAAACTATAAAAACGCTCGGTGTGGCTTGTCACATTATTAATGCTTGTGCGAAAGGCTGGTAAACATGTAATGAGGATAAAATTCATTCTGCTGCTGAGGTGGTTGATTTCGGGGTGTTGCTTCCAGTGACACAGTCATTAAGCCTTGACACAGTTCATGGTTTAACATAGGAAAGCAGAAATGATGTAATTTGGGCTGCCCATTTTGAAACTACCAGCATTCCACTGGCTTTCACCTATGAAAGTCCCAGTTTCATGAAATTCAGCCTGAAAAATGTGAAAATTTAGAGGATGATAAAGGTGATGGAACAAAGGAGTGGTCTGGGGTAAGGAACAGTGGACTCCTGCCTGCTGTGTTCTTAGGGCAGAGCAGATGCCTTGTAGATCAGCGATACAGATGTGACGCTGAAGCAGTAAGCTGTGCAAGTAAAGTATCAATTTTTAAAATTATTATTTTGATTCTAAACCAAAATGCCATAGAAGATCAATACATTATTAAAGCATGTCAGCAGTGGCATAAAGGAAATATACCTGTGAGATGTATGACTAATTTCCTTAATAATTGCACTTTGTGTGTGTGTGTGTGTGTGTGTGTGTGTGTGTGTGTGTGTTACTGGGGATTAAACTCAGGACCTTCCGCTTGCCAAGCAAGCATTTACTCTACTGAGCTATCTCCCTGGCTCTGCACTGTTTACTAAGAAAACACCAAGCAGTTTTGTAGAAAAATGATAAAAGTTGAGATTAGTTAAGTCATGCAATAATTTAAATGGTTAGTTAATAAACATGAAAAGTAGTTCAACTTCACAAATGGAGAAATGCTAATTAAAACAAGATACTGGGCTGGGGAGATAGTTCAGCAGTCTAAGCGCCTGCCTGGCAAGCACAAAGACCTGGATTCAATCCCTGGTACTGAGTACCGTGCTGGCCTCAGAACCCCAGGCATGTTGTGCCAGCCCCAAAACTGGGCATGGTGGCACATACCTGTAATCCCAGTACTTGGAAGGCTGAGATAGGAAGATCACTATGATTCTGAACTGCGTAGGAAGATCCTGTACCAAATAAATAAATAAATAAATATTTTTAAAAGATGCCATCTTATGTCCACTATTTTGGTAGAAATTATAAAGGCTTGTAACGAGCATTCCCATAATACCGTTGGCTACTTTTATAAATTGGTAGTCTTTGCAAAGGGGCAGTTTGACATTATCTACCAGACTTATACCAGCAGCTCTTCCGTGAAACATAATAATAGTAAAGAAATATATAAATAATATACATAAATGATCATTTTGAAGATTAGCAATACATACAGTTAAAAATCTTAAAATGCCCTGTCCTTGGCTCAGCAGCTCCACTCGGGGCTCATCCCTCGGTGGTGATTGGGTGTGCACATAGGCAAGGGTCGTGGTGTGGGCCTCAGTGTTGCTTCTGATTTAGTGGGGGAAGGTGTGCACATGATCGATTCCACTTTGAGTATTGTGTGTGTGGACTAGAACAGTATCTAGTGATTATAAGGGACGATACACCTCTCTATTAATAAAAGGGGTTCATGTGAAAGAAAAGCAGCGTCATACGAGTTTTTTTGCCTTGTAAAAACAAAACTAGAAAAAAAAAAAACAACTAAAGAAGTGTGTATTTAGGTTAGAAAACACTGAGAATAAATTGCCACAAAGGATGTATTTACTATGTTTTACAAACATGTATGAATAAAGAATAAACTAATAAAGAATAAACTCCAAAATGTTCAGTGGTGTCTGTGGGTTGTGAGGTTATAGGCAATATTCATTTTCATTAATTTTCTAATTTATATTTTAAGATTATGGATTATATAGCCTGTAAAACCTGACCTATATATCTGATGTACTTAATGTGGAATTTTTGATTGTTATTTTTTCATCATTTAGAAAATGAATTTTGCCATCAAGGGAGCAGTTTCACAACTCACATTTATTGTGGATTTAGCTGTCATTAGATTGCTGCCATGTTGAAAGTGCCATTTCCTTGTTTTATAGTGGGAAAGCAGGGCTGTCCTGCGCAGCGAGCCCTTGATTTTAGAGGGAGGCTATGAAAACTGGCTCCTTTGCTATCCCCAGTACACAACAAACGCTAAAGTCACTCCACCCCCACGAGGCAAGAACGAAGAGGTGTCTATCTCATGTATGTATGTGGAAACCTTTGTTTAAAATTACTTTAGTAAATATAAAATAGATTTTTAATGTTTTTAGGGTCATTGTCTTTCTCGTATGTGTGTGTGTGTCCTGTTTTCAGTTAAAAACACCCATATCCTAGAAGACTATTGGGATTGTCATATCATTTAGTTTATATTTAACTCTTGCATACAACAGCATGACAGATACAAGTACTGTGTATAGCACTTGCCGTTCTCTAAAATAATACTGTTCTTTTGTGGATTTCAGTGGATTTCACTTACCCGTCATTGGAAGAATCAGTTCCTTCCAAGCCTCCTGCTCAGATGCCGCCTCCTCTGGAAGCAGATCAAAATACGGAACTGACAGATAATCAAGGAGGACTGAGTATGTCAGTGCCAGCCGAGCCAGTTGCTGCTCCCAGAGCTAATGTCTCACCCACAGTTCAGCCAGTGCCTATTATAAAGAATGTCCCACAGGTATTGGCTTGCTTTTCTTTTAACTTTGTTCTGTTTTCATACTATATTAAATGTATAGTACAGAAAAGAAATTTTATACATAATCTTGGCAACTTTATTTTTACAGAACTTTTTGATTAGAGTCTATTAGAGTAGATAATTCAAAGGATTTCAAGACTATCTAATGACTTTTTGCCCAAGCAAGAATCAGTAATAGGGCTGGGGATATAACTCAGCAGCCAGTGCCCACCTGGCAACTGTGAGAACGTGAGTTCAATTCCCAGTACCAAAAAAAAAGTATTAGTAAAAACTTCTGTTTCCACGTGTAAGTAGAAAAATTATTTTGTGTTTGCTTGTTTGCTTCCTTGTGCTGTATTTGGCACAGTTGTCCCTCAGAATCTGCTGGGGACTTGATGTGGGGTTTCTTGAGTATAAGAGAATCTTTAGATGCCCAAACCCTGTATATAGAGTGGTATCGTAAGGCCAACCTGATACCTCAGCAGACAAAGCACCTGCTTAGGCAGAGCACAGTGGCCGGGGTTCCATCCCCAGCATGCTGTGCTGGCCCTGCCCCCAGGGCACGCTAAATCTGCAGTTGAGACTGGGCGTGGTGGTGCACACCTGTAATCCCAGTGTTTGGGAGGCTGAAAACAGGAGAATCACTGTGAGCCCAATCTTCGTAGTGAGACCCTGTATACCCTGTAAACCCTAAATTCATTAAAAAAATAAAGATAATAGAATACCAATAGTTAATATATCACATGTTATCCGGCTAGCCCTTGTCCTAATTGTCTTGTTATGAAATTTTGTTTTACTTTTTTTCCATTTAAAAAAGTTGTTTTTTTGTTTTTTTTTTTTTAATGTGGATATGGAGAGCCTAATATATTTTCCCAAATAGGCTGGCAAGATAGAAATAGGTTGTCAGCATTTTAGCTTTAAAACAAATTATTTTAGTTCTGTTTTATTTAAATATGACATTTTAACAATGACTTATGTAAAACTTTAAAAATAGCCAAGGTATTTGAATAAAAAGTGGCAGCTCCCCTGTGTCACTGGGATGAAACTCAGGGCCTGGCACTGGGCTACATCCTCCTGCCCCTTTTTACTTTATATTTTCAAGACGGGATTTCTCCCTCTGAGTCACTAAGTAGCCCATCCTGGGGTCAAACCAGCTGTTCTCCTGTCTCAGGATCTCAGAGTGCTGGGATTACAGGTATACACGAGTATGCCTACCTCTATACACATACACGTATGTATTCAGCTTTTGTACATATGTACTCAGGTGCCATATACATGTGTGTCCACCAAAGAATGTATAGATTAGGAAAAGAAAAGCATGTAAATATTTTAATACTAAATCAGTGACATATTGTGAGATTTGCACAAGTTCCTTCGGCCGCTACAACGACAAGAGGTGCACAGAGTGGTAGCCATGAGCTCTGCGTGCACTGAGCTGCTGATGTGGGTACCCTTTCCGGGCAGGCTGTATATGGAGAAAGGTGAGACCTGGTGAGCCAAGCTCTGACTTAACTAAGCGGGAAGGGGAGGGACCAAAGGGGCTAGATGGACACACATATTAGTCTGGTTTGAGCAAGCACTCGAGACCTGCAGATGGCTCGCTAGAGATGTCCTGGGCTACAGAGGCTTGTGTGTCCTAGGACATCATAGGTAGTGCCACCTTGAGAGGAGCAGAGATGCAGGTATGCACCCACGGTAACTGGGTTTTGTCCTTCAGGTTCTACTTAAAAGATTCTTTTTTTCTTTTCATTTTTATGTATTTGATACAGGGTTGCGCTATGCAGCTTGGAGTTGTAGTGATCCAGCTCAGCGCGCCCTGGGGGAAGGGCCAGTGGGGCATGTGGGATGGGGGCGAACCCTGGTCCCAGCCCTTGCCAACAGAGGCAGTCTGCGGAGCTATCTCACGGGCCCTTCTACTTAAAGATTAATTAATGTTTTCCTTACCTTTCTCCAATAAGACTTTTTAGCATTGATTTTTCGTTTATTTCCCTAGCATTTCGCATATGAAGTGGATACATTGATTTATAGAGCAGACTATGACTAGAAGTTTGAAAAATTTTATTGTAAAATAAGGTTATTCATTCCATTTTAAAAATTTTTAATATTTCTGATTAAATTGTAAGACTAAACAGAACTAAAAATGTAAATTTAAGAAGTTGTAAAAAGAACTTAGGTTACCATGCATTCTTACAAGTTATTCATCATATGTATTGTTTGGTTGTTCTGCGTTTTGAGACAAGGTCTTGCTGTGTAGTTCAGGCTGGTTCAGACTCGCAGTGATCTTCCTGCCTCAGCTTCCTGGGATTCCAGGTGTGGACCACCATGGACAGCGAGTCGTATTTGAACCTTAATCCTTTTTTGTACCACTGTGACTATCAGCTGTATACCTTGGTCAGCTTTAGTCAAAGGGCACACCAGTGACTAAGGATCTTCCATGTGAGAGACAGCATGAAAATTTACAAACAGGGGTTTCTGATGTTTAGAATGACAGACTTGTGTAACAGTCAGTCGCAGCCTAAGACAGGAGTGTCATTGCAGTACCAGGCACTGCAGCACAGAGCAAGGAGAGAAGTTCAAGCTGAGACAGCTAGAGAGGCTGTCTTGGAGAAAGAGCATCTTATATGGGCTTGGGATTTGCACATGTGTGAGACAAGTAGAAAATTGTGTGACTAGAGGCACAAGGCTTCAGCATGAGAGAGCAGGTTTTGGATGTATGGTCGTAGGTCTCTGGGTGAGGGAAGCGTGGCAGTAGACTAGATTGCAAAGACAGGCTGGAGTCAGCAAGAAACTTGGGTCAGATTTGGATTTATCCTATAGGCACAGGGAACATTAAAGATTTAAATTTGAAAGCGGATATATAAATTTAATGAAGTCCTAATCAAAATGCCAACAGCATTCCTTACAGAACTAGAGAAAAATTCATGTGGAACCAGGAGAGAGCCAGAATAGGAAAAGCAGGCCTGGGCAGCAAGAGCGAAGAAGTGGACACTACAAGCCAGGGTATACTACAAAGCTGCAGTGATAAAAACAGCATGGAACTGACGTAATAACAGAGACGCAGATCAGGGGAATAGAGGCTACAAAAACCCCAGACACATTGAGCCATCTGATCTTTGACAAAGGGACCAAAAACGCATTCTGGAGGAAAGATAGCCTGTTTAATAAATGGTGCTGGGAAAGCGGGCTGTCCACATGCAGAAGGTTGAATCTAGACCCATATATGTCACCATGTACTAAACTAAAAATGGGTCAAAGACCTAAAACAGAAGCACTTAATTGGTTGGAGGATAAAATAGGTAAAACTCATGAAGATGCAGGTATAGAGAAGGACTTCCCGAACAGAATCTTGGTTGCATCCAAAACAACTTCAAGCATCAACAAACAAATGGGATTCTATTAAATTAAACAACTTCTGCAAAGCAAACAACTGACAGAATAAAGAGACAACCACAGAATGGGAATTTCTAGCTGATCCTCAAGACACAGGACTAATATCTACAATAAAGAACTAAAAAAACCCAAAACTCCCCAAATAAAAAGCCATATAAAAAATGGACAACCAAAATAGCCTTATAAATTCATGAAAAAAACACATCTCTGGCCATTAGAGAATGCATATTAAAACACTGTAGTGCTTACTTTGGCAACACGTATACTAAAACAACACTGTGATCCCATCTCTTCAGAAAGAATGGCCACCATCAAGAAAAGAGTGACGGGCCAGGGAGATGGCTCGGTAGAATAAGCGTTTCCCTGGCAAGCGCAAGGGCCTGAGTTCAATCCCTGGTTCCGCCAAAACAAAACAAAACAAAAAAAAGAAAAGAAAAGAGTGACAAATACTAGAGAGGCTGCAGGCATGGGGAGCCATTCTGTGCTTTGGTGGGAGTATAACAGTATAGCCACTATGGAAATCAATGTGGAAATGCCTGAGAAACTAAAATTAGAAATTCCATGGGACCCAGCCAGTCTCCTTGTAGGGGTCTTCCAAAAGGAGATAAAGACATCTCATTATGGTGATGCAGGCATATTCGTGTTTATGGCAGCACAACTCATAGCAGCAGATGCTTGGAAGCAACCTGTGTATCGGACACATAAATCATGTCACATGGCTGCTTTCTCTCTCTCTCTCTCTCTCTCTCTCTCTCTCTCTCTCTCTTTTTTTTTAGTGTATTTAGTGCAGGGTCTCACTACACAGATCAGACTCAAAGAGATCCTCCTGTTCTCAGCCTCCCAAGCACTGGGATTACAGTCATTCACCACTGTGCCCAGTCTCAGTCCTGTCTCAGTGCGCCCTGGGGCAGGGCTGGCAAGGCACACCAGGAATTGAACCCTAGTCCCTGTGTCTGCCTAAGAAGCACTTTAGTCTGCTGAGCCATCTGGCCAGCCACACGTGGCTTCTCTTATATGAGAAACTCAAAATGTAAATTAAAAAAATAAAAGATAATAGGAAACAAGGAAATAGATCTGCTACAAATGGGAAGATGCTGTAGTTAGGTTTATAGTGGATTAGCTTTTCATACAGGACACATGATTTATAGGGTGATTTTATAATATCTACCCAAAGACTCAAATGCAGAAGCGTGCAGGAGATCTGTCTACACTTGAGGCCACAAGAATCCAGCTGAGGGCCTGGCTCCCATGGCAATGTCCTGCATGAGTCCAGCTGGAGATCTAGAGCCCAGGACTGTCTCATGCAAGTCCATACTTAGGATCTTAACTGGGAAGGCCCACAGGTCAGGTGCGGAAGCTAGAAAGTCTGTGCCAGTGGGATGGAGGATCTGTGCTAGCAGGCTGAGGGGTGTGCACTGGAGCCAGGAAGCAACGCTCAAGGACCAGAGCTCCCTGAAGAGAACTGTAGTCATCCACAGTCACAGTGAGGACTCCAGCTCCTCGATGATAGCAGCTGAGCTCAGGAAGGCCAGCTTGACAAGCTGCTCTGGGAGGATCAACGGCTCACCATCTTCCTCTCTAGTTCTCCCTTTCATGTTCTTGACAACAATCCTCAGGTTCTTCCACACACAGAACCACTCTGAGTCCGTTCAGCTGGGTGTTACAAATGGATGATTAGTTAATCCACCACAGACGGGAATCCAGAGGTGGAGGAGTGGGGATATGAAGGGAACGTAAAAATAAGACGTGTTATGCACAGGCACCAACTGCCCAGGATAAACATAATCATTATGTACTACAAACACAGACTAGTGAAATAAAGTCACATGGTCCTAGCTGCACAGTTAGCATTAGGGAACAACAGAGCCAGGCAGCATGGTGCATGCCTGTAACCCCAACAGTCTTGGGACCTGAAACAGAAGGATCACAAAATTTAAACCCAGCGTGAGCAATTTAGAAAACCAATGAAATGCTGTCTCAAAGAGTAAAAGAGAGCTGGGGATGGATCTGAGTGCAGAGGCCCACGGTTTAATTCCCAGTACCACACAAGGAAAGAGAAGAGAAGGATAATGGATTAAACCATCAAAATATGAATTCTCAGATATGTGTAGAAAGGAGAGTATGGGTTTTGTTTTTGTCTTTTTTAAAGGCAGAAAAGGTGCTAGAAAAAATATTTTTTTCTTCACTACTTTCTCCTTTTTTCTAGAAGAAACATGTAAAATTCATTTTATAAGAACATTGAGTAGTTTGTTCCTGGGAATTCTCGTTTTTGTTTCACTGTGTTGTATTGCCAAGAAATGATGACTCAGTTCTCAGAGGTGTGGAGTTAACGTGCTATTAAACTGAAGTGATGCATTAATTTGATGAAGATAGTACAGCAATTAACCACTAAGAAGAATATATGCAGTGTATTATTTGTTGAAACTGTACTTTCGATTTGATTTGAAACTGTCTCATTGCTATATGTTT